AGTCAAAAGCACTAAAATACTACAAAGCATCTTCTTGGACCACAACGCTATAAAATTAGAAATTAATAACTGGAAGAGTAAGGAAAAAGCATGAAACATGGAAGCTGAACAATTCACTGCTCAAAAACTACTAGGTAATAGAACAGATAAAAACTGAAATAAAAAAAAAAAAGTCTTAGAAACAAGTGAGAATGAAGATACATCGTACCAAAACCTATGGGACACAGCACAAGCAGTACTCAGAGGGCAGTTTATAGCAATAAATGTATATATCAAAAAAGAGGAAAGAAACAAAATCAACACTCTAACTCATCAATTCCAACAACTATAAACAGAGCAACAAAAGAATCCTACAATATCTAGAAGCAAGGAAATAATAAAGATCAGAGCAGAAATAAATGGAACAGAAAACAAAAATACCATAGAGAAAAAAATCAACAAAACAAAAAGCTGGTTCTTCGAAAAGATTAATAAAATCAATAAACCACTGGCAGATCTAACAAAACAGAGAGAAGATCCAAATCACAAGAATTGCAAGCAAAAATGGTGTCATCACAAAAGAACCAACTGAAATAAAAGATACTGACAGAATATGAAAAACTGTACTCCAACAGATTTGAGAACTAAAAGAGATGGACAAGTTTCTAGAATCACAAGACCTACCTAAACTATCCCACTCAGAAACAGAAAACTTGAACAGACCTATAACAAAAGAAGAAATTGAACAGGTCACATAAAAAAAACTTCCCACAAAGAAAAGCCCTGGCCCTGATGGCTTCACTGGAGAATTTTATCAAATATTCAGAGAAGAGTTGACACCTATGCTTTTTGTTGTTGTTGTTGTTTGCCATCGAGTTGGCCCCGACTCATAGCGACCCCTCCTTGGGTTTCCGAGGCACTATCACTGTGGAAGTAGGAATGCCCAACCTTCCTTCCGAGGAGTGGCTGGTGGGTATGCTACTCAAGCTATTTCAGAACATAGAAAAAGATGGAATACTCCCAAACTTATTTTATGAAGCAAGCATAACACTAATACCAAAACCAGGGAAAGACACCAGTAGAAAGGAAAACTCCAGACCAATATCCCTCATAAACATAGATGCAAAAATCTTTAACAAAATCCTAGCCAACAGAATCCAGCAACATATCAAAAAATTAATACACCCGGACCAAGTGGGATTCATACCAGGTTTACAAAGGTGGTTCAACATCAGAAAATCAATCAATGTAACCCACCTCATAAACAAAACAAAAGAACCAAATGATTGTATCAATTGATGCAGAATAGGCATCTGATAAAATCCAATATCCATTCCTGTTCAGAACTCTCAGCAAAATAGGGATAGAAGGGAAATCCTCAACATAATAAAGGGTATATATGCAAAGCCAACAGCCAACATCATCATTAAAGACTCAAGGCATTCCCCTTATGAACAGGAACTAGACAGGGATGCCCTCTATTCACCACTTCTGTTTTAACAATGTATTGGAAGTCCTGGCCAGGGCAATAAGGCAAGAAAGAGAAATGAAAGGCATACATATTGGCAAAGAGGAACTAAAACTATCTCTATTTGCGGACGATACGATCCTATGTGTAGAAAACCCAAAGGACTCAATAAAAAAACTGCTGGAACTAACAGAGAGGTTCAGCAAAGTGGCAGGATACAAGATCAACATACAAAAATGAGCTGGATTCCTCTACACCAACAAAGAGTCCTCTGATAAAGAAATAAGGGGAACCTACCATTCACTATAGCTTTGAAAAAGATAAAATATCTAGGGATAAACCTCACCAGAGACACAAAAGACCTATACAAAGAAAATTATAAAACACTGCTACAAAAGACAAAAAGGGCACTACATAAATGGAAGAACCTACCTTGTTCATGGATAGGTAGACTAAATATTGTGAAAATGTCAATGCTACCTAAAGCAATCTATACATTTAACACAACCCCGATCCAGATTTCAACAAAATTTTTTAAGGACATGGAAAAACTAATTACTAATTTCATATGGAAAGGAAAGAGACCTCAGATAAGCAAAGCACTTCTCAAGAAGAAAAACAAAGTGGGAGGCCTCACACTTCCAGATTTTGAGAACTACTATACAGCCACAGTAGTCAAAACAGCCTGGTATTGGTACAATGACAGACAGATAGACCAATGGAACAGAATCAAAAGTCCAGACATAGACCCATCCATCTATGGACAAATGATCTTTGACAAAGGTCCAAAATCCATTAAATGGGGAAGAGACAGCCTCTTCAACAAATGGTGCTGGCAAAACTGGCTATCCACCTATAGAAAAATGAAACAAGACCCATACCTCACCCCATACACACAAACAAACTCAAGGTGGATCAAAGACTTAAATGTAAAACCCAAAACTGTAAAATTCATCAAAGATAAAATAAGGGCAACTCTGGGGGCCCTAATTTGCAGCATAAGTAGACTGTCAAGCATAACCCAGAATGTGCAGGAGACAGAAGAGAAGCTAGATGACTGGGACCTTTTAAATTCTTATGCGCATCGAAAGACTTCATCAAAAGGGTAAAAAGAGAACCTACAGATTGGGAGAAAATATTTGCCTGTGACATATCTGATAAAGGACTTATCTCCAAAATCTATAGAAAACTTCAACACCTCGATACCAAAAAGACAAATAACCCAATTCACAAATGGGTAAAAGACTTGAACAGACACTTCACCAAACAAGATATACAGGCAGCCAACAAACACATGAGAAATTGCTCACCATCATTAATCATTAGAGAGATGCAAATCAAAACAACAACGAGGTACCAATTTACTCCAGCAATAATAGCAAAGTTCAACAGGTCAGAAAATAGTAAATGCTCGTGAGGTTGCGGAGAAATTAGAACTCTTGTGCCCTGCTGGTAGTATTGTAAAATGGTACAAATTGTGGCATACGGTACGGTTGTTTCCTTAGAAAACTAAAAACAGAAGTACCATTTGACCCAGCAATTCCATTACTAGCAATATATCCTAAAGAGGTGAGAGATAGTGCATGAACAGACATACGTACACCTATGTTCACTGCAGCACAATTCACCATAGCAAAGAGATGGAAACAACCTAAATGCCCATCAGTGGATGAGTGGATAACCAAATTATGGTACATGCACCCAATGGAATACATCATGCTACATTAAAGAACAAACAGAGATACATGAATCACCTCACAATGTGGATGAACCTGGAGGACATTATGCTGAGTGAAATAAGTCAATTACATAAAGAGAAGTACTGTATGAGCCCACTACAGTAAAAAGAGAGAAGGGTTTGCTTGGGAAAGGGAACTCACTTAGTTGGTTACCGGGATGGGAAGGGAAGGGAAGGGGAGGGATTAATTTCAGGCTAGTTGGGGCCCACACACTGACGTGGATAAGGGGTGGGATATACGGGAAGGATCTGTGACCACCATGATAACATTAGGAAATGGGAGGACACCAAATTGTACACATAAGAGATAGACAACAGATGCTAATACCAACCAATGTGTCCACGATACTGCATTGCCATTAACACCAAACACTAGGCTACAGATAAACACAAAAAACCTGAGAGGATCAGATAGGGGTCAGTGAACAGGAGTATACTCTAGACCAAGGATAGGTTCAGCTGAGGCTAATCTTGTACAGACACCAGTGACACAAAATACCTGCATTCCTTACAGAAACAACAGAAGACATACACAGTGTAATCCCTCACAGACAACCAGACACTATGGGAGAGAGACCCACTAGATCTACCTTCTCAGGACCATAGTACTGGGAGACACCAGACGCAATTGGCACAACAAAATATATAAAAGCCTTGCTCTGCACCCTCCATTGGGGGGTAACGAATGGGGTCTTAAAAGCTTTGAAGCAGCCATCTAAGATGTAAGCTAATGGTCTCCCAGCATTGGAAGCAAAGAAGAACGCAAAAAAAAAAAAAAAAAAAGGCATTTGGAAGCAATCAGCCATAGGACACAATGGCCCTCGAGACCAGAAGAACTAGATGCTGCCCAGCTACCAATGCCAACCACTCAGGAAAGGATCAAATCTTGAGATACTGGAGAGAGTGGGAGGAAAAATGTGGGAAAAAATCCAGTAAGTCAGTAATGACCAAAATTACTCATCAGATGAAATCTGGGGAGACCCCCCCAATACTATGGCCCTGGAATACATTCTGTGCCTGGAATAAAACACAGCCCCAGGGGCTGGCTCTCAGCCCAATAGTTAACAAGCTGTACACACAGACCACTCAACCCAGCATTATGCACCCACATACTCTATGGTAATACATCCCTTAGAGCAATAGACCACGGGACACCAGAGGACCAACATTCAAACTGAGGAAATGCAGGACAAACAAGAGTGCATAAATATTAGGGGCACAGGGGGAGGGTTAGAGGGTAAGGAGGGGAGGAGACTGGGTTAGGGTTGGACATGGTAAATGGAGCGTGAAACTAAATGTACACACAACATTGTATGTAAAACAAATTCTTAAATTAAAAAAAATTCATTATAATAATACAACAAATGAATTAAAATATTTGTACACAAAGAAAAAAATATAGACGGCTGGGAGTATGAAGACAATATTGAGAGAGAGAGAAGTGTCAGGAATGGGCACAGGTAGGGCCATGTATAGGAAGAACTTCAGATGCCAGCCAACATGTCTGCTTTCATTTGAGAGAAAGAGTCACAACTTCCTAACAATTTTGGAAATATCAAATAATTGTGCTAATCACAAAGATGCTGTATCAAAGTTATAATTTTACTATTTTTAAAATTGTAATGTCATCTTGGTGTAGAATTTAGCATTCATAACCCCTAAGGACCTCTGTTTAGAATGACTCTGAGTTTTCTCACATGGGTGATAAAGTCTTGAAAGGAAAGGGCAAAGGAAATGGAACAGTTTTATGAGCATGTATTAGGTATTTATTATTTCCAGAGTCTCTTAGACAGCATCAATCTGAACTGTAGCTACTTGCCTTTACCAGCAGTTTCTCTTTAATTGTGTAAGACACTTCTGTCTCGCTCTCAGACTCTGAGTTGGAGAGATCTTTGTAATTTTTTTTGGCAGTTGCTGCTCTTCGTGGAAGTCTGGTTCGCCCATCTGGAACCGTCTCTTCTGTCTTTTTGGTGATATTTTTGCTGGATGTCTTTAGGAGAAAAATTCCTGAACATTATTTAACCACTATTTCAGATACAACAAATAAAAGCTATTTTCTATTAAAGTGGCACTATGACAAGACAGATATAAAAACATCTATAACCACAGAATAAAATAGACTTGAAATAAAGCCAGCTTGACTCAGAAAGACAGAAGGTAGGGAAATGTGCAGCAGCAGGAACAGTTATGGACAACAACTGATCAGGGGGAGAAATTCTGAGATGACACTGCATTATTTCTACGCGACCAGAAAAATAACATTAAAAGGGATTTTAAACACAAGCGTCTTGCTTTACCTCTTTATAGCTTAACTGTCCCCTTTCTAAGAATGGTCCTGCAATTCAGAAAAATAAGGTTTTTAACTTTTCATAAAGTTATGAGAATTGGCATTAAAATTTATGATCTAACATTTATGCATATATAAATGAAAAGGCATAAAAAGAAACAAGAATATACCATTAGGCTTATTTAAAAATTTAAATTTAAAGATAATTTGAGGCTAAACCAACATTGATAACTTGTGAAATGTTTAGTGCACTATTTATGACCAATTTCCCTTTGCCTCCTTTATGTTATACAACTTTTTAAAACATACAATAGAACATGCAACATAAATTACAAAGTTAACACCCATGAATCTACCATTTTAAGAACTAGGCAATGATTAATGTTGAATCCACTTATTTGTGCTCTCTTCTGCCACTCTCTGGATTGCCCTTGGACCCCCCCCAAAACAAAAAAAGGAGGTCTGGTGGTATAGTGGATAAGGCATTTGGCTGCTAACCTTAAGGTCAGTGGTTCAAACCCACCAGTTGGCCCCACTGCTCAGGAAAGGTAATCACTATCCTGAAATTCATGTTTCATTCATGAAATGAAATTCATGTTCATTTCATTCATTCATCCACCCCATGAATACCAGAATGGGGCCATGTTCCACAGACAGAACACAAGCACCTGCTCTCTGGTCGACCGATTCACTGTGACCCTGTGTGTGTCAGAGTGGGGTCCTGTTCCATAGACCTCTAAAAAAAAAAGCTTTCATTTCACAAGTCTGTATCCTTAAACAATATAGTGACATTTATATAAACAGCTATCACGTTATATGCACTGTTCTATGACTTGCTTTATTTTCCACTCCCCATTATGTTTCTAAGATTTATCCATATGATTAAGTGTAACTTTTGTCCCTGTTCCTCCTTTTGCCATTCAAATACAATGGTCACCTTTCTAAATATTCTCTGAAGCCTAAGACACAGGATTATGCAAGGAAAGAAAGCAAAGCATTTTTTAGAAAGAAGGTCCACAAACAGACGGAGGTGATAAGCCAACTCATATCTATTGACTTGGAGTCATTCCCTCACTTAAGAATAGTAATTCATTCATAGGTTCAATACTTTAAGTATTTACTGCTAAAGTATTACAACATTTAATGTCTGCTCAAGACTTCAAATCTTTCATTTTGTGAATAAATGTCTTTACTTATACATCTTCCCACTAGGCCATTAAGCTCCCTAAAGGCAGGTGAATCTTAACATCCTTCTCCTGCATGTTAAATGCATCCATGAGTTACCGCATTGCTTCTAAATCCAACTTCATCTTCCTGCAAGTGTGATCTGTCCCCCAGAGGCCTCTCATTACTAACACTCCCTCAATCCACTGTGCAGTCCCCTACTCTGTCCTTTTTCTATACCATGATCCATTCCCTCTCTACTATTTTTACTTCTTTCTAAACTGTCACCCACTCTTCCATATCACTTATAGTAAGTCACTACCAGTTACTTTTATTCTGAACTAAAGTAAAAGCTGATTCCCTTAAAACAAATATCAATGGAACAGAATCACTGCTCAGTGTTATCTCAAGACGTCTTTATAAAATAGACTGTATGGTCCCTCAGTGCATCAGTAAATGTGAAGTTGACTTGAAGCTATTAAAATCATTATTAATTCTAGTCAAAAACTCGCACCTCTCACTTACAGACTGCTTAAGGACATTCACGATCACAAAGAAAATGTGGGGGGAATGTGTTGGGAAAACTTAGGCAAAAAAAATATTTTCAAAAAAACTGCTTTAAATCACAAATGGACAAATGTTGCACGATGCCAGGTATAGATGTGTGTTAGTGTCAAAATCTGAGCTTTGCTTTGGTTTAGCGTGCTGGGTTCATGCGGTACTCAGGACATCTAATTCACTGAATAACTGACTGACAGCAGGCCATGAGTGGGCAATGACAAGTTATGTCATGAACCAAAAGTTAAGGGAAAGCATATTTTCTGCCTCCAAGGTCCAATTAAAATTAAAAGCAACTCATTCTTCTCATTATAAAAGAAAGGGAACCACTGTATCAAAACTAATGAAATAACACCCCAACAGCTGGGCTGATCCAGCCATTTTCCCTCTGTTGTCTTACATAAGGGTATGTCCTCACAAACACTGTTCACATACAAAGAGACACCTTCGACCAAAAAAACACCTTCTACAGGGGAAACATGAGTCTTCTGCAAACCCTCCCTGAACAGCTGTTTCTTACTTGGTTTCCCACTCTGATGCCTCTTCACATTTTTGTTCCTGCTGTAATCTACTAGCTGGGGTTTCAACTCTGGTTCTCTTAACCAGCTGACATCAGTCCTGCTGTCATCACATCTGTCATCTGTTTCAGAATCACTAAACAGATGCTTCTTTTTGTGACTGGTTATCATCTATGAAAGAGAAAAACAGGACTCCTGAATCAATGAAGAAATGTGTATTTATACGTCACGCACGGTTAAGTTAGGCCAAATACAGCAGACACTCCTCATTTTTAACATTCTAATCAGCACAGTGTTAAGGAACTATCCAAGAAAGTCACTGTGAAATCCAGATCAGAGACTGAGATTTCTATTTTATTATTAATTAAAAGTTAAATCAAAACAGCTTACTTCCGTAGACAGAACACAAGCACCTGCTCTCTGGTCGACCCTGGCTCATGGTGACACTGTGTGTGTCAGAGTGGGGTCCTGTTCCACAGACAGAACACAAGCACCTGCTTTCTGGTCAACCCTGACTCACGGTGACACTGTGTGTGTCAGAGTGGGGTCCTGTTCCACAGACAGAACACAAGCACCTGCTTTCTGGTCAACCCTGACTCACGGTGACGCTGTGAGTGTCAGAGCGGGACTGTGCTCTACAGGGTTCTCATGGCAGGTTTTTGGGAAGCAAGTTGTCAGGCCTTTCTTCCAAGGCACCTCTGGGTGGATGGGACCATCTAAGCTTTTGGTGGGCAGCCGAGCATGTTACCATTTCTACCACTCAGAGCCGCCGCCTCTATTGCTAGATGGTTGCACATGGCTCAAACCAAACCCAAAACCAAACTCACTGCCATTGAGTCAGATCCAACTCCTAGTGACCCCTCCCCTTGGGTTTCTGAGGAGTTATCACTACAGAAGTACATGGCCCAACCTTCCTTCCAACATAGCTCAAAGGCCATAGGAAAAAATGGGAGCATGGGTCAATCTCATTCACAAGTATTTTCTGTTCTCTGGTTCTATGACAGTCTTTGGCATTAAAATCTGATGAAAAGAAAGACTGCTTTTACTAGACTTATTTGGCTATTATGACTTACTCTTTTATCTCTTCTTTTGAGACAAGGTTCAGTGTCATCTTGATTCCTTAAGTCAACCCTTAAACAAAAACAGGTATTAATTTAAAACTGCCTTGCTATTTATGTTAGGTGGCACATACTGGACAGTTAGACATGAGTTTTCAGCCTTACTCTCTTACTAATTAGCTATATAATTCTGGCCAAGTCACTTATCCTTCCTGACCTCAGTGAATTATAAAATAACAAGGATGGATGAAGAGACGAACAAGACCTTTCAGATTTATGACCTAAAACAAATAACTAACATTTAAAGTGCATAGAATTAGCATATTACATATAATCTAGAAGTAAATGGTGAGGTAGCAGAGTATGAAAGAAAGAATCATGGCAGTAGCATTTTTTTCCCGCTCTTCTCAAATGTTATAAAAGCTCTCAGAAAGAGAGACTGAGATGAAATATTGAAGAAGGAAAAGGAGTTAAAGAGATAAGTGTATTTTAATCTTACATTAAAATAAAACACCTACAATTTCATGGAATTATCCACACAAGCTTCTGTAGCTGTGGCTTGAAATTCCTGGACCTATGTTGTGAATAAACATTTTTTTTAAAAGTTCTTTGGGTCAACATAAGGTAAATAAAAACTGAAAAAAAAAGTAAACATAAAATCTTGTTTCTATCATTTCATGGAATTAAATTTTGACAATAAAATTAAGATTACTAAAATACATTAAAGTACTGGTATATTTAAGAAGAAAACCAATGCTATAAAATACACTAGAAACAAATTTATGAGATTTTTTTTCATTTGTTTCATAAACAAGGAAAATTATTGCAGGGTAGTGAATTACACACTGTTGTTGTTATGTGCCGTCGGGACCTGACAATGGCTTTTCTAGCCATAGTCTTTGTAACTTCCACTTTGCCATGAGCAACTGAGTAGCTGCTTGATAAAGTCATCCACCTGGGAGAGCACAAAGTAATCTTCTGGGGCAGTTCGCTCTCTCTGAGGGGTGCAGAACTCTCATGTTGGGACTGGCTGTTCTGCCATTGTACCTGGCTTAAAGTGAGCCCTTTTAGAGGTAGAGGAGGTCTTTCTCACTGCCTGCTGGCAGAGATGTGCAGCTGAGAGACACGCTGCTGAGAGACAGAGACACAGCTGAGAGAGACCGAGCATGTTCCTGACCTTGAGTTGTAGCCTGGTGCTTCCCTAATACATCCCATAATCTGTGAGTTCTGTGTGGCCACTGCAGCAAATTATCGAACCCAGCAGAGAGGTGGTAGGTGCTGCAAGAGGGACAGTTGGTGTCAAGGTTGGTAAGAGGGTTGGAGGGTGGCGGCATGTCTGGCCTCAGAGGAACAGGCCTTGGATAGTGATTCTGTCTTCCTCTGGTATAATTTAAAAAAAAAAAAAAAAAAAAAAAAAAAAAACCTCACTGCCGTGGAGTCAATTTGACTCATAGCCACCCCTCCTTGGGTTTCTGAGGCAGTATCACTATGGAAGTAGATTGCCCAACCTTCCTTCTGAGGAGTGGCTGGTAGGTTTGAACTGCCAGTCTTCTGGTTACCAATGATTTTCTTAATAAACTAGTCTAATTGTCTCCCCGACAATTACTCATTTTTTTCCTACTGCATTCCAAAGGATTTGACAGGAAACTAAATACATCTAGGTTGGTTATCCAAATACATAATAACTACATACTGAAAAAAAAATTAAAACATAGTAATAAAATAATATAAATCTAAAACTATACTCTAATAACTACATGGTAAATAAAAAATAAAACTACTGAATAATATATAATATTAATGATATGTAATACATAATAATGATATATATAATATATGATACTACTGATTTCTAGCTTACTCCGAGTTTTATAGTAGGGTCATCACCTCCATTCACATTAAAATTGTAAACATCATTCCTGTAAAAATAAAGAAAAGCATTAACTCTATAATACAATAAATAGTCTCTTCAAATATGAAGAAAATGAAAAGATTGATGAAAAACTACTTACAATGGGCATTCAGAAGTAACATTAACAAAAGTAGTCTTCAGTTGTCTGAAACTTTTTTTCTGAACCTTCTCCTAAATATAAAAGGTTACATAAAACCATTCAACCTGTTACCTTACTGTGTTTGACAAGAAACACAAGCAACTACGTTTCCACATATTGTCCAGTTAAGCTTCTAATAAAGTAAATCTGGCTTTCTGTAACAATTTCCTTAACATAAATTAAACACAGTTAAGTATTCATGCTTTAACTGAAGGCCTAAATATTAACCAAAATCCTAACACACAGTTAGGTGGAATGCTAACACACAGTACAAGCCCCTTTACCCTTACCATTTGCAGGTTGTGTGTTGCTTAGCCTCTGGTCAGGTGGGAGCCGTATATGCATATGAATCCCTGCTCCCATTAGGTTTGGTTTGGTTTTAAGGGAAAGCTGCTCCCCTTTTGTTTATTAGTTCCCCCAATGGTTTTAAAGACCCCAAACCCAGACTCTTGCAGCACCGGACCATGGATAGACACAGGTGGGTGAGGCAGAGGATGTGGCTCTGGGTAGGGGCTCTCAAGCTCTGTCCCATGGGTGGCAGGCAGGCAGCGGGAGGGAAGGCACTGAGGGCCAGGGCTGCTCCCTCCTTGCTCACTTCCTCTCATTCTGCTCAGCAGCAGCAGCAGAGTGGCAAGGAGGACGACAGGAAGCAAGCTCCCTTAAGTTTTACTGTTGTCTGCACAATGTCCACATCATTGTATGTAATATACTGAAATAATACACAGCATATCATGGGTGTTAGGCGACTCATACCTACGCGTAACAGTATTATCTAGATAAATGTACTCCTCACTAGTCTTTCTCTCCAACCTGAAATTTAATGACTCTAGAATCACAAAACAAGTGTGCTTCTCCTTTTACTTTTCCAGTAAAAGTTTATTTGCTTTAAACACTTAAGTAGAAAACTTTGGAAGAGGATAAGGTTTAGGTAAAATGTCATGTGAGAGCCATAAAGTTATCAATTAGTACTGAGGAAAAATGTAAGATTAGTCATATAATCTACAACTCCAAACCTATCTAATCAGATCAACTATGTAGGAGATCCTGGATATAGTATGAGAACAATGTGGAACAAAATCCAAAATCATTTTTTTTAAAAAAGGGACCAGGTTTGCTGGTCTGATAGAGCCTGGTGGAACCCCAGAGACTATGGCCCCCTAGTTACCCTTCAGGTCTGGAATTGAACCCACTACTGTGGTTTCCAGCCAAACAAAAGACAGGCATATGAGCTGAACATTTATATTAGGTAGATACACTCCTTGGAGAGATCAATCATGGGAGAATAGAAAGGCTGTGTATGCAGGGGGACACAGCTGGGGGGGGGCAGGAGTGCATGGGAGGGAAGGACACAGGTAACTATGGGGAGGAAGTGGGAAGAGAGCTGTTGCACTGTGGGAATTGCAGCCAATGTCATGAGACAAAGTGTATGTGAACTGCTGTATGGAAAATGAATTTGCTCTGTTAACTTTCACCCAAATCACAACAACAACACAACCTATCTAACCAGATCAAAAAGTAGTGAGAAAATAATTTTAATAAATTAATGTTTTAAAGTAAATTACTTATAATTAAGTAACACATAATACTGTTTAATTGATCACTGATCAGGAATTCATTAATTAAATAAACAGTAAGCTGGAATTCCTTGGAAAGAAGGTTGGGCGATCTACTTCCATAGTGATACCACCTCAGAAACCCAAGGAGGGGTCACTATGAGTCGGATCCAACTAGAGGGTAGTGAGTTTGGTTTGGTTTTTTGGAAGCTGAGATTATGAAAATATATATTCATTTTAATTTGTGATTCATCTTCAATGCATTTCTTCTATTTCATATAGAATTATTTGCATTAGTTCAAACAGCTCACTTCTCAGTATATCATTCATCTGATCACTTATCTGACTTATCCTCTGTCAGCTGGTTTTTACCAGGGTTTGGGTACATATGTGCAGGTCATCCTTTGTGTGCGAGGTGTTACAAGGATAGAAAGACGAGGAGTGATGCTGAGGAGGATAGAAAGGTGTGAGAAGGCATTGTATACAGGATACAGAGATGATTCAAAACAGGAATACTCCAACAAAAGAAAGAGGAAAAAGGGATAAACCTTTCAACACTGAATAAAATACAAACATGTACAAAAAGACACTATCATGCAGGTTCAGACTTCTGTCCATTTGGGTTTTAAGGGGAGGGCATCTCAGAAAGTTTTCATAAAGAAGGGAGAACATGAAGCAGGCCTCGCAATAAGGGAGGAGGCTTTGACAATCAAAATAGACAGTGAGAGTGCCTACTGGCTCAGTCCAGAGTTCTTCCCAAAGGGGGAGCAAAACGGAGAAACAAAAACTAAAAAGTTAGGGAAGACATTTCAGCCAACCTCAACTTACTATGTTCCAGCTAAACAAGGCGTGTCCAGGGAACCAATATTAGGAAATAAGACAATCTTTTAAAGGGACTAGCGAGAGCCAGCCCACGTCTCCATTTAAGGCAGTAAGCCACAGAGACCAAAAAGAGATTTCTGAACAAGCTGTGTACTTCGAAAAGAAAAAAGCTGGTATTGAATACAGTGAATGAATCAGCACAGAGAAATACAAGAGGCAAAGAGAACTACACACCAAGGCTATGGTCATACTCCAGGGATTAGAAATTGGACATGACCTAGGCTAACAGGTGCCGTAGACAGGAGGGTAAGGTTTGAGAGGAATTTACAAATAAAGTAGAGATGGGAAGTAACTGTGAGGAGTAAATCAAAGATGACTGCCATCTGAAGCCTGATGAATAGTGAACAACTGGCAGGAGGGATGGGATCCATCAGAAAACAAGCTTGCCAATCGGGACACGTACAGAAGTTCACCCACGGTGTGGTGCAGACACGGTGTTGCTACATGGAAAGGCAGCACTCCATCAAGGCTGACATATTAGGGGACGATTTTGAGTGCATGTCACTAAACTTGTTGGTTGTTACAACCCATTTATCAGTACTATGAAGCACTGGATCTAGTTGTATTTTACAACTCTTCTAGTTGAGAGTTTACAGTCTAATAACATTGAGTTTAACTACAGGTTTGGTGCAGTTAACAAATGAAACCTACCTTGCTGAGTTGTAGATCAGATCTGTTTGAAAAACCAATATAAAAAAGGTTTTGTCAAAATTAAAAAGCAATTAAATATCATTAGACTATTTTCCATCAAAGCCATTTTACGTAAGGTAAAATATATGTGGGTCTACATCCATATTCAACATGCTTTAATTATCCAAAAAGTGACAGCACTACTTTGGTATTTTTTGCAATTGCACTCAGAGCAAATAGCTGTAACATGTACTTGTTACCTGTAACAGGTAATTCTAAGGTGACTCGTACACGCAGCGGGAAGTACCACACAATTTTAAACGAGTGATTCTTTCGTGAGAGTCACAGTTTTCATGCTGTACAATGAGGCTAGAATTAATTTACACTTCAATTAATAACTTGACAGCCTATAAACAGACGTTTTGTAAAGAGGAAATAATTAACTTTCGGAAAGACTGCAAACAAGTAACATAGTACACAAACCGTTGCCAACGAGTTAGTTCTGAAAGGTTGGTGGTTTTAATGCACCACGCCCTCTGCAGCAGAAAGATGAAGCAGCTGCTTCCAAAAAGATGACAGCCTTGGGAACACTCTTTCCTCTAGGGGTGCTGCGAGTCAGAATCAACTGGATGGCTGTGTTTTCTTTTTTGTTTGTTTTTGTTTTTAATAGTACATAAAAATCACTCATTTCAGCTCATTTGTTTCATATTTCATTAAGCACTGTTCCTAATTAAACAAAAAAACAAACAAACTCACTGCTGTCGAGTTGATTTCGACTCATATTGACTCCTCTTTGGGTTTCTGAGTTGGTATCTCTACAGAAGTAGACTGCCCAACCTTCCTTCCAAGGAGTGGCTGGTGGTTCAAACCACCAGCCTTCTGGTTAGCAGTCAAGCGCCTCAGGCACTATGCCAACAGAGCTTCCAAAATATACTTAGTTTTATTAATTACTGCACTCAGTAAATAAAATTCTAAAATGTCTACATGCTAAAGATGATTTCTGAAATATGCTCTATCAATACGCTGTTTTTTGATACTATGCAAAATGTGATCTGACAGTAGACTGACCAATTTCAAACTCAGTTCCTTTTCTGTTAATTTAAACTGCTACTGTTTATAGAAGTAGCAAGTAACAATGTGTTTTCCACTTGAAAGTTATAGTATTTGAACATATGTTAAAAACTTTTTTTAAACTATGTAAAATAATTTAGTTACATCTGACAGAAAATTTTATGTGTAAAATATAAGAACTTACCTGTCCATCAAAGAATCCTTCAATTTTCTTGTAGACTTCATGTCATCCTTTGCTTTGTATTGTTTATGAATTTGGCTCATCAAGGATTCTGCTGCATCAGTAAATCCTCTCCCTTTTGACTTTTCTTTCTGAAACAGTTTGTAAGTTACTTTAAAACTCTACTAGCTAATCTTCAAAGGAAAATAAAGGCTAAAAAGAAGATTTAAGGAAATTCTAGTTCTATGTATATCCACAAAGAAAAATAAAAAGAGTCAGAAATGATTTAGTAAGTCTTGGATTGGTTAGTTATTAAGACAACTCAGGACCAAACTTTTAACAGACAGAACTGTGCAGGGTGCTTTTAGATCTAACACAGGCCAAAAAGGAAATAAGCACAGAAAACTGAAGGGGTTCAGTGTTACAACTACTATCAATACAGGTTCAGATAACTTGGTAAGGGAAATGCAAAAGATACCGTTAAATACATAAGTCTTCTGATTGTATTTTATTTCTACTTTTTTTTTCCTGGGAATCAGCCATATGTTTTGCCATATAATGGGTAATATGCTATTAGTTACTAATTATAACCAAAATGAAGACAGTTTACTTGGCTTGCAAAATTAAACCTCCCTAAACAGTGTATAATTCCAGATCTTCCAGTTTAATTGGAGCTGACCTGGGAAATCCAGACCACTGAACCACTACAGTTCTATTTCTCTGGGCTGATCCAGTGAACAGAGGTCAGAGAGATGCCTGTGCTCTGGAGTGTGATCCCCGTGGGCGGCAGGAAACCCCACGTGACGATGGAATAACACAGGGAGTGAGGCTGTTAAAGACTCAAGAGAACTTCTGGAAACCTGATGCTGATTAATAAAACTCACAGCAGAGCTTGGATAAGATGCACCCCCCAAAAAATGAAGGAACAGCCTTCTGTGAAATGATTCTAAAGTGCAAAGATACAGTTTATGATGAAAATGATGGACCTATCTGGTTTCAGTGAGAAAGGCCCACACTTCCCCTGAAACTTGGGAAAACTACACAGCTAAGACTAAAGAGAGGAAAGATCACATACTACGACCAAGAAAAAAGTGACCCAAAAGGATTTGGTAAAGAAGATGCAGCCAAATCAGGCACAAAGAGAGAACACTGCTGATTATGAACAAAAATTATATATACACACACATATACGTATATACAAACACACATATGCATACGTACATATTCCCATATACATACACACACATACATAAGATTGGTCAAGACCAATTAACTAATATGAAGTTATATACAACAATTACAGATAGATGATCCATTAAATGGCTTCATTTGCACTCTGGAGTGTTCCAATCCATGAACATTTTCAATCAACTCTCAAACTTTCCCTCCCCAGATATTAATAATCCTACAGAAGATAAATTCAAAAGAAAGCTTACAAAGACCTTCACTCTTCTCTTACCAAGACCAAACCCACTGCCACTGAGTCAATTCTAACTCACAGTGACACTACAGGACAGAGTAGAACTGTCCCACTGGGTTTCCAAGGCTATAAATCCTCACAGAAGCAGACTGTCTCATCCTTCTCCTGTGGAGCAACTGGTGAGTTTGAACTGCCAAACTTCTGCTTAGCAGCCATATGCTTTCACCACTGCACCACCAGATCTTCTTAACTCTCACTGTTGTCAGATGCCGTCCAGTCAGCTCCAATTCATAGCGGCCCTATGTACAGCAGAACAAGACACTGCCCAGTTGTGTGCCATCTTCATAATCCTTAAACAATTAAGTTATTGACAGCAGAAACGCATTCTGATTAGATTTTTAAAATCTGCACCTAGATGGCAATGACAAAAAAGAGCTATGGTAACTGTCATAAAAGGTATAACTTTAGTCTCAAAGTATAGTGCAAACCATCCAAAACGTCCTGGGCATGCTCTACAGAGATGATTAAAGTGAAGGACAGCCTCTTCTACTCCACTTATGTCCTTTCTCAAAAAACCCTGGTATGGCTTAATTTAAGAAAGGTTTAGGATGCCTCGCATATGAAGCTGTGCTAAGCCAGGTAGAAAAACAAACGTTAAATCAAATACAGCCGTCACTTTCTAACAGAAAGCAAAGTACGGTAAGAGAAGTTCATAGACAATCCCATAGGCAAGCTCAGAACTGAAGGGACAGAGTAGGAGGAATTAAAAAAGGGAGAAAGCCTCAAGGTTCTGTAATCCATCCAGATTGGTATGCGCACCTGCCAAGTCCTCTTCTATTAAGGCTAGGACAAGGGAGCTGTTACTGAGGGGTATGAGGGCACTCACTGAGCCCAGATACTGACTTCAAGAACGAGGTGTTACAAATGTGAAATCTGCAGCAAACCACCATACTTCTTTACTTTCTTATATTCTTAAATAATCATGTGATGGATCTGGAAGAATCCAAACACTGAAAGCTCACCGTATTTTTTGGTTTTAAATTATAGGGATTGAGTTCAGGAGTCAGACTTTTCTCTGATTTTCTATGACTTTCCACATTTTTCCCTGGAGAAGGGTTTTGATCACAAACAGCAGTATTCACATCTTTTGACAATACGTATTTCTTCCTATAGATCAGAGACTCCTCCACTGTCTTATTCATGAGCACTGACTTAAAAGTCGTTTCGGACTCAATACGCCAATCACTCTGCATGGTGTGGCCAGGATTCTTCCCCTCCAACTGCTGAGGAGGAGTCTCTTCTTGGTGACTGTTTCTGTCCCAGATTTCTACTTCCTCTTCATCGCCTTTGTTACTGACCACTATTTCTTTTGTACTTTGCATTTTTCCTGTTTCTTCAGAATTATCATCAGATAATGAAGAAGATGGATTTTGTTTAGTAAGTTTTTTGTGGACAACAAGATCTAGTGGAAAAACAAGAAGTAAATTCTTATTAAATTTATAAACGTATTATACGTAAAATGTGTTAAAACCTACAATGTTAGAAATCTGAGGAAAGGAAGAGTTATCTGAACTATTGTTACATACAGAGAAAACTATGTTTCACCTTGATCCATTGTTTCTTTTAATGTGGTACTTGCTCCTTGGGTATTACAAAGTTGAATGTTTGTTACAGGTGTCCAACATGCCCACTTGGAATTAGATTTGTTTTCATAGATGTTGTCTAAAACGCCACATAATCTAGAAAATAATTTCATTTGTTTAATATATCTTTAAATATTAGCCTATGGCTGTGACATACCTCTTTAATTTTGTATTCAGTCAATGTTTACTGAGAGTAATTTGTCAACACCCAAGTATGGAGATATTTTTATAAGTTATGATGAAAGTTAGACTCTATCATATAATTGATCAGATTAAAGAATATTAGGGGGAAAAAAGTTCCATTCCTGCTACTACCTTGCTATCGTAATTATGTCTTACATATCATACTGTATATGTGAACTGTATCAATTTCTTCTCATTAACAGTTTATTATTGAAAAAAAAAAAAACTCATTTACTTCAAGTCTCTCAATTTCAAAAGAATTTACCTTGGTTGATATAGAAAAACTGTATACACCTATCTGCACTGTAGTATCACAATAACACTTGATGGAAGATTACTGGTACATCTAACACACATTCTAAACATACAAAGACTCTTTCCTTTAAATCCATGACCTCTGAAGCTAATAACAGGCTAAGTGATTTAATGGGTTTTTGCATACTTACACAGGTTGTGAATCAGGAACAACATTCTGGCATTTATCTACATAAAACAAAAATATTTCAGTTTTCATTTTGGGGGACAGTTGGCAGAAGGAGGTGGGGGCTGATATAGGGTTTTCTAAACGTAAACATATTGGGATGAATGGATTGATTGATCTTGACTCTCCCTGTAAGACCCAGACTTCTTGGGGAAATAACCATGTTACTTAGCCTGGTAACCACAAAGTACCTTGCACAATGCTGACTACATTAAGCAGAAATCTTTCTTATCAATGAACACTGGTGAAGTTAAAAGCACAGAGAAGTATACATATTTTAAAAAGATCTGCCAGCACTAAACCAAAAAAATACTTACTAAAATTTTGGTTTGGGAATTCATTGTCCTTATTAGCAGTTTTCATATGCTGTAAAAACAGGAGACATGTTAATGTAAACTTGAATTAAGGAATCACAGGAAAACTTAGAAGTTCTACTATTCACACAGTAATGTGGGTGAAAGGCAAGACAATACCCAACAAGGGGAAGGGCAGTGTAATGGCGGATGGTAAAGGAAGACACGGGGAGGAGCACACAAATCCTAGACAACCAAGGAAACTCTGGTACCTACACAAGCCTGCAGTAAGAGTGGTAACAACATTTATGAGTAGATACAGAGGCGAGATGCAAGCTCCACAGGCGTGGGAAGGTGAGTGGGCATACACCCACGAGCATATACAGGTTGGGCAGAGGGTACTTCTACAGGTAGCTGCATGCGCTGCAAATATCAAGGCTACAGTAGAGCACACAGGGGGCAAAGTTCTGAAAACTGAGCCATAATTAAACACCTTGAGGGAATGCGTTACTGGGCCTGAGAACTTAGGGTCACAGTCCTGGGGAACGTGAAGATCATCTGATATAATATAGTCCGTAAAGACAATAATCTATATCTTATTTTGGTGAGCAGTGACTAGGATCTTAAAAGCTTGTGAGTGGTAACTACTGGTCTCTCCTCATCTTTGCAAGGAAGAGTGAAGAAAATCAAAGCCCCAAGGAAACAACTAGTCCAAAGGACAAATGGACCACATGAACCATAGCCTCCATGACCCACAGAGAAGAACTAGATGGTGTCCGGCTAACACTACTGACTGCTCTGGTCAGGATCACAACAGAAGCTCCGGTACAGAGAAGGCAAAAAAAAAAAAAAAAAAAGAACAAAATTCAAAATCATAAAAAGGACCAGACTTACTGGTCTGACTAGTGGAACCCCTGACACTGTGGCCCAGAGACACCCTTCAAACTTGGAACGGAACCCACCCCCAGGGATCAACTTTCAACCAAACGACAGATAGAACTATAAAGTGAATAACAATACCAGGGAGGAGCATACTCCTCAGTACAATCAACCATGCAAGACTAAAAGGGCAGTATCTGTCAAAAAACAAAGGTCAGACAGTAGAAAGGTACAGGAAAGACAGACAGATGGAAGTGGGGAACCTCAAGGAGGAAGTGGAAGCATGCTATTACACAGAAAGGATTGCAACCAATGTTACAAAACAAAATATACATGGAAGTACAGACAACAAAGATAAACACTTTGACATATACAACCCTGCATTATCAGTAGTAACACAAGCAATTTCCTGTTGCTGTTGACCTCTGAACCTGCATCGAATCTGACTGCCTTTTCACTAAAGTACATACAAGATTTGGACATTATGAAACACTCAAATGCTTTCATACGTTTTATTGTCAACAAAGTAAGTGAGCTGTATGTGAGAAGGACCCTGCTCCTCTTTAAGGACAAGGAAAGATATCCAGGAAAAACAGATAGGAACAAGTCAGTGCTTTAACCCCCTCACAACCAAATTATTGTCTGCTTTGAATTTTTTGTTGCTACTTTGTGTTTTCAGTAACAGTAGGCATTCTGAAATCAAGGGAAAGGTTATGGATGTTGGTATCATAATGTGGGATACATGTCCCAAGTGGATTCTAGTGTTAGAATTGATAGAGTGAGGCTCAGTTCTTCAAATACCAATTATACAGGCCCCTGCCAGGGAGCAGTATATATTACAAGTGGGATAGGAGTTTCCCAAGAAAGCTGAGAAGGTGAAAATGTTGATGGGTGATATAAATATGCCCCATTGGGTCATGAAAGGGTTAAACCACCTTAGACATTCACAGTAGAAGAAGTTAGTTCAGTATATTTTTATATAATAGCTTGATAAAAATGTTTTTAAAAAAGTATCTTCAAAGTGAAATTACTTTTTCTGTCTTATTGCTACTCTTCCTTCCTTCTGATGGTTTAGATTTAAGTGCTGCTGTGTTCTTTACTCCTCTGTCCCATGGTTTAGAAACAGCAGCTCGTTCTGCAGAATTCATCATTTGCAGTGGTGGTTTAATTCTTCCTCTTCGTGGTGTTGCTTAAAAAGAAGACAAAGGACAACCAGATGTGTTTTTTGTTTTTTCATTTAAATTACTTAAGGCAATTGGCTGCTAACCAGCTGGTCAGTGGTTCAAATCCACCAGCTGCTCTGTGGAAGGAAGATGGGGCAATCTACTTCTGTAAAGATGTACAGCCTTGGAAACCCAGTGAGGGTCGCTATGAGTTGGACTAGACTTGACGGCAGTAGGTCTGAGTTAGAGTTTTTAGTGGTATTCCTGAGGGTCACCACCAGCCTGTCAGTCTGTCATACTGGAGGGGCTTGCATGTTGCTGTGAGGCTGGAAGTTATGCCACAAGTATTTCAAATACCAGTGGGGTTGCCCCTGGTGGACAGGTTTCAGCAGAGCTTCCAGAATAAGGCAGACTAGGAAGAAACACCTGACAACCTACTTCCAAATATCAGTCACTGAAAACCTCATGGATCACAAGAGAATGCTGTCCAGTGTGGTGGTGGCAGATGAGCCTCCTAGGTTGGAAGGCAACTACTCAACAGCAGCAGCCAACGGTCTCAAGGGCACCATGACCACAGAGATGGCACCGGACAGGGCAGTGTTTCCTTCAGTTATAATATGGCTGTGATAACTGAGCCAGTGGGAGCTGGCTCAATGGCAGCTACGAACATTACTGATGTACTTTTCAGAGGAGGATGGTAAGAGAGAAATGTCCTAAGATGGTTCCCAAATGTTTGCCTTAGGTAAAAAGTGGCTATGGATACCATTTACTGAAACAGGAAATGGAGGGTGGGAAGATGAACTCATTTTGGGACCTTATACATTTGAGGAGCCTGCTGGACATTAGGAAACTGCCCAGTCAGCAACTGGATTTTTGGAATGGAAAGTCATTATCACATTTTCATAAAGATTAAATAAGACTATATTTAAAGCAGCTAGGTGACAGTATCAGAGACTAATAACTGTTTAGCACTTAGTATGTGACAAACACTGTCTAAATGCTTCACAACCTTCCTTTCTGAATGAGTCAGTCTTATCTACTCCTCCAGTAAACTTGATGAAGTAAACAGCTGGTACCATTGTGTAGAACAGACAATGGTTCTATAGTCTGTCAAAGTACTCACCTGGAGTGAGGAGCAAAGCCCCAGCTGCCTGACTGACTAGATTTACCCACACTGCTCCACCACCTCACACATCCACAGCCATGGCTGTTCACACGGGAGACTGGTATGAAACACTACATATATATCGATACCCATTATACCTTCCCTTAAATTCAGACACATTTTGGCTCCTATTTTATTCATTTTTACATCCCTAACTTATCATCCAGATAAATGATGTCCAAAATTTCCCTGAATTAAAAACACCTACTTTAAAAGATTTCTAGCAAATATTACTAGATCTAGGAGCCCTAGTGGTGTAGTGCCTAAGGCACTTGACTGCCAACCAGAGGAAGGATTGCTATGAGTCGGGTCTGACTCCAAAGCACATAATAATAACAACAACATTACTAGATCTTAAGACCATAAAACTTACATGTGTTGATTAACAGTAGTGGACTTCTCACAGTGTATCTATCCGTACCAGGAACAATCATGGATGCTTCCGACACCTTTCTTTTGCTAGGAGTAGTTACCTAAACCATGAGAAACAACCACAGTGAGCATGCACTGTCCTTGAAATTAATTATCTTACAATTTTACTTGTAACAGTTTACTTTGACTACATAAAAAAGATTAACAGTATTTTTTTTTTTTTTTTTTACTTTTGCGGTATTCCCTTCCCCTTCCCTCTCACCCCTGGTAAATAACAAACTTTCCTTCCATATATAAACCTTTCCTTGACTTTTTATAATAATGAACTAATACAACTTTTATTGTCCTTCTGTGATTGAGTTATTTCACCTAGCATAAGGTCCTCCAAGTTCATCCATGTTATGCAGTGTTTTGCCGATTCTACGTTATTCTTTAGGGTTGCGTTCTGTATGGTGTATGTACTATAGTTTACTTATCCATTCTTCTGGTGATGGGCACCCTAGGCTCTTTCCATCTTTTTGCAGTTGTAAATAGTTCTGCAATGAACATGGGTGTGCTTATATCTGTTCTTGTCCTGGCCCTCACTTCTTTAGGATATACACTAGTAATGGTATTGCTGGATCATATGGTATTTCTAATTCCAACTTTTGAAGCAATCACCATACTGCTTTCCACAGTGGTTGCATCATTTGACAGTTCCACCAGCAGTGTATGAGAGTCCCAATCTCTCCACATCCTCGCCAGCATTTGTTATTTACCATCTTGTTGAACTTTGCTACTGATGCTGGGATGAGATGGTATCTCGGTTGTTTTGATTTGCATCTGTCTAATGGCTAATGATTGTGAGCATTTCTTCACGTGTTTGTTGGCCACCTAAACATCCTCTTTGGTGAGGTGCCTACTCACGTCTGTGCCCATTTTTTAATTGGATCCTTTGTCTTTTTGTTGTTGTGGTGCTGGCGTTTTCTATAAATTTTAAAGATAAGTCCCTTGTCAGATATGTTGTTGCTGAATATTTTTTCCCCAATCTATAGGTTCTTTTTTTACTCTTTTGGAAAAGTCTTTGGAAGCACATAAATATTTAATTTTTAGGTGGTTCCATTCATCTATCTTCTGCTGTTTGTGCATTTTAGGTTATGCTTGCCAGTCTATTTGTGCCATAAATAAGGGCCCATAAATTTGCAACTAGTTTTTCCTTGAGGAACTTCATAGTTTTAGGTTTCACATTTAAGTCTTTGACCTATCTAGAGTTAGTTTTTGTGATGGATATACAGTTCTGCCAGCACTATTTGTTAAAGAGACTATCTCTTCCCCATTTAATGGATTTCAGCCCTTTGTCAAAAATTAGCTGACCAGAGGCAGATGGATCTATTTCTGGGTTCTCAATTCTGTTCCACTGGTCTATGTATCTTGTTGTACCAATACCAGGCTGAGATAAACAGTAATTTTATATAAGACATGATATGCAGAAATTTGTATTTCAGGCTGACCTGAAGGGCCTTTCCCTTATGTTTGGAATATGTAATCAAACCAATTAATGAATATTGTTTTAAATAATATTTATAAAATATCCAGACTTAAGAAAAATAACACTTTCAAATGCACTTGTTAATGAAAACACAAGTTGAGTGTATTTATGTGACCAACGCCTCACAATTTCACAATACCTATTCTATCACATGAATGTAGCTATTTTACATTTTGATACATATATATGCAAAATTATTTTTTAATATCTTCACATATTTTGAAAACTGCTTTAATATTCTCTGAAGACTAAGCTACCTCTGGAGCTCAGAGACATGGTCACACACAAGTCAAGTGGCTCTAGCACAGTCTGTATTCTCCAGAACATCACCCCAGAGGGATTTGCAAGAGCAACAGAAGTTGGTAAGCAGAGTCAGGGGCTTCAACGGTGTCACAGAAAAGGGTGGATGGGGACATAACCATACAGAGGCCCAGAAGGCATCTGACACTAAGGTGGGGAACACATTTGTCAGCAGGCATGTATGTGGGGTGGAGGGTAGGAGGAAAGAGAATTCTAAAATTATCCTGACAACAAGCTATTCAATCAGTAGATTCCTTTCAAGGCCACTTACTTCCTATATGTTGATTGCACAGTGTAGTGTATTAAACCTGAAAAGACACTGACTCACATAAATGCTTCGAAGATTAGTCTTCACTAACTGGAAACATGGTAGGCATTTAACCAAACCATTTAGGGAAATATAAGATGACATTTTTCATATAACAGAGGACATGGGACTAAAAGGGGGGAAAAGTGAGTGACGTAAACATGCCAAAGTGTTTGGGAGCTCTTGTGTGTTACACATGCTCATAGTAGGAGATCAGTAACAGGTGAAACAGTCAGAGAAGCTCCAGGAAGAAAGTGAAATAACAATGAACCCTGGGAGATCTGAAGGGCAGCATCTGCATAGGGAAACAGCTCAGAGGGCAGGAATGTGTGGGAAGGACACAGAGAAAAGGAGGTAACTAGGGAGGAAGTGGAAAAAGAGCTGTTGCATTGTGAGGATTGCAGTCAATGTCATGAGACAAAATGTGTATGAAGTGTTGTATGGAACTTTCACCCAATTCACAATTAAAAAGAAAGATAGTGAAAGTGAAATGAACTGAGACTTGCAGATGTATGTGTGCCTGAGACGCCTGAGGGAAAAAGGGAAACCAGCCAGGTGAGTGAAGGTCTAGAGCCAAGAATGAGCTGTACAGAGACCTCACTAAAGTGAAGGATTGCTACTGCAATCTTGACTGAAAGAGTCAACTTAAACGAGAGGAGGTCTTAGAACGAGAATCAGTGTCATGGACACAGAGCTCCTAGCACTGTCTGAGTGGGTGGATCCTACCGGGATAATGGTATTTAGGAGCATCCAGTGGCTGCACACAACAGGAGCTGGCTGGCAGATGAAGCGATGGTGTAAGACCAATTAAGAGGTCACGGCATTAAACTAAGTGTGAGGAGTGGGGGAAGGAGATGAGGTATTAGTAGAGGAATGAGGAGGAAAGGGTGAGAGATACTGTGAAAAGAACCACAACCTTGACTCTACATCTGGAAGGCAAGACCACCAGCACCATTAGTGATTAACATAACTGAAGTACAGAAGCAGAATCCAATTTGAAGCAAAGCATAGAGTGTGAGGTCGGACTTCAATAAAGGCTTTGAAAAGGCTTTCGTGAGGATATGCCAGCAGAGCAGGTAGAGACAACCTTTGGTGCCATGCACATGAAGGCAAACACGCTCAGAGGGAGAAGGGCCCGAGACATTCTGAAGGGTGGCACCATGTCCTTGGAGCAGGTCTACACTACGAGGTGGAAGAGAAATACACACTGATGTAGTGAGAGTAGGAAGAGAATTAAGGTGCCAAAGTGGAGGTCAAGGAAGGAAAGGCCTCAAGACAGCAAGGGCTTCCTTGCCATCACTGCCAGCAATGTCTAATTGCACAGCAGGTGTGCAGAAGGCAGCTGGGATGCAGGCCTTCTGGACATGGCCTGGAGGATACCTTCACTGAGGAAGAGGAGAGGAGGACAAAGAGCCTCATCCTTTGCTTTCTTTCCTTATGCAAATACATGTCCCATTACCGATTCATATTCTACACTGTAGCGGAGTGCAAAAACAGAACAGACACCAGACAGATGCAAAAGCAGTAGCTAGTCTCCTAGGCCTCTTCAGTTTGGGATCTGTAAGTGTATGTACTTCACCTTCCACCCCCCAACATCTACAGAGACATACAATTTGCTAAAACACACTATTTTTTTATTTGCATTTGTAGAAGTCAGGGGAAAACTCTTAAAATGTTACTGATCAAAGTTTAATTTAGTGTGACTGATGCATAAATTCCAGGTGTTGTTTCTATACTTAGGTATAGCAATACTCTGGTTTACGGCACTTTTATAAAAGATAACTTCGATACCATTATTTACCTGGAGTTGACTAATTTTTCTGTCCTCTTGATTAGTGTTTTTGACATATTTTGGAGGTTTACAAAAGGCCTTTGGGGGATTAGGTTTTTCTTTTAAACTATCACATTCTTCTTCAACTGGAGAGACTTGACTTTCTGGCACTAGAATCTGTTGAAGAATGTGAAAAAAAGCCCTTTAAAAGTTCTTAAAAATCACTGTGTATCTTAAGAATGCTTCAACTCATCTCCCACTTACCAAGGTCAACCCCCCCTACTGCCCATGTACTATTATAATTTTTAAGTCCTGTGATGATATGCATGCCTAGAAAGTGGCCCAACAAAAACTATCCACTTTTTCAAATATTAATAGATACAAACAAATGTTAACAGATACAAAACGATGCTTCAGTGCTGGGAAATACACTCCTAATTTTTCAGGTGATTTCATAGCTGTGTACTCTCTGCACTAAAACTGTCATTTATCAGTTGCCCTACAGTCACCACCCTACTGCTGGCAACCCCTCCCCCCATGTGTCAGAGGAGAAATGGGCTCCACAGGGTTTTCAATGGCTGGTTTTTCAGAAGCAAATCACCAGGCCTTTCTTCCGAGGTGCTTCTGGGGGACTAGAAATAACATGGTAAAAAATTACATGTATTTTATTGAGACAACTGATTTTTTTCAGATATTCACTCTGTAAAATCAACTTTACTATTGTCTTCTTTTCTAAGATTAAGCTTAGTCCATTGAGAAAAACTGAGAGATATACCTGGGATCCACTGGCATCAAAAAGTATATGCACAGATGTTTTGGCAACTGAAATACCTTGTTTTCTGGTAAATTCCTAAAATTAAAATAAATAAATCGGTGTCATTTCTCCCAATTCTTTCTTCTTTAAGGCAATTATTTCCTGTTTCCTTCAAAATTGCCAGGTTCCCTTACACAACGGCTTTGCATGTAGCAACACTCAGGCGACTTCAGTGACTCTCCTTAGTCTGGTCCCTCTGCAAGGGTTCTTCATCAAACTTACCTCCTAGTACCCTCTAATATAAATCTTCATCACCAATCAAACTTGTCAGCAGAATACACGTCCCGTAAACATCATATAAACTGCCACCACAGATTCTCAGTTAAACAATTTCTGGTCTGTAACGTCCTCCACAACCCTGGAAAGCATCTTACCTAAATTTGATCCTTTTTTTTCAAAGTCAAAGGCCACCTCCACAATAATATTTCAAATCTGATTCTCAAGGAGCAACCTCTTTCCTCAACTTCCTCAATTCATTCTTTTATACTACTTATTTATTCTTCTAGGGTATTATTTGAGTAACTCTCACAAGCAATGTTTAATATCTTGAGAATAGGGCCTTCATGACAACTTTTCCAAGAATTCCTTACATGTTTGAACAGCTGTTGCTCATTCTGTCTTCTGGGATGCTTTCTAGTAACTATCTCAAAGGGTCTGGCTAACAAAATAATGGCTACTTCATGGTACCGTCTCAAAACTAAAATTTTCAGTTTTAAGAATTCTAGGAAAGAATAAAAAGAACAGTAACAATGAAACTTCTAGCACAAACTGAACGTTTCCAGAATTGTGGCAGTAGTAAATATTTATGGAAGAATTAAAACATTTACCTTATACTTATTCACACCAAAAATTTTCTGAGTGACATGAGTGATTTCTAGTGATGCATCAAAATACAAAAGCAATTCTTTCCCTTCTCTTTTACTAATTTTTATCGTAGTTTTCATAAGTATGGTCAGCAGCTTCTTCGACTCTCTCACTGTATACAAACAAATCATATTGATTAGTTTACATTCATTTTTATGATACCATTCTACTGACAGACTATAAATAAGACAAGTAGACAGGTATTAATTGAAAAATCAACTAAATCAAAATCCAAACATCTAGAACTTAATCAGTTTTAAAATTATTCATTCTAGTACTAACTGGCTATATGAACAAATCAAGTCAGTTTACTTTCAGACCTTCATTTCCTAATGTGTACATGATGGGTAAGGCAATAACTACTGAGATAAAGCCCCCAGATAGATTCTGGAACCCACCAGATGCTTAATTTAATATGTCTTGGACACAGGTGGGATAATTATTTTGTTAATTTTAAGAAGGCAAAGAAAATAACTTATAATTACACATAACAGCCATATTTCTAGGCTTCAGCATCTATTCAGGTATTTTCTAAAATTTACAGTTGCTATGAATGGGTTCACAGTAAACAACAACATCTCATAGATGGTGAGTGCCAGGAAACTGTGAGGGAATAAGCAAATAAAATACATATCCACAATGAATTTACCAGCCCAGGGAAGAGACAAAAGTTTAGTTCTCATTTATAACAAGCATTCTACTCTACTCCTGTTCCTTGCAAAAAAATAAACAAAGTTACCAAAAAATTACCCGGCACCCAGTTCATTTTCCTGTGTTATGGACTAAAGGCCCAGCATTAGGTACCACCCTGATCCCTTCCTACTTCTGATGTTCCTACTACTAGCTGAGACGTCTACACACATGCTCTGCCTCCAGGGTATGTTTTGGGGCAGGAGGAAACACATAAAGGAGAGGACCACACAAAGTAGAAAAACAATTCTCTACATCTGAAATTGTGCACGCAACTCCATGGCCAAATAGCCCTACTAGCTATAAAAGTTTCAGTCTTACGAACCTTGCACAAGAAGATTGCTCTCTTACTTTACGTATACGGTCATGAAACTTCCACAGTAATGTGAAGTAACAAGTTCAACAGTAACATGTTTTCAGGCTTCAGAGAAGATGATTTAGGTGGCTCTGAAGATGATGTTTCAGATTTTGATGATGAAAACTGTAGTATTTATAATCTTCATTGATATTTTTGCTGTTATATCCTTCCACACATCAAATTTTACTTTTTTCTGTAGCCTGCTGTGAACTTAAATTCAATGCAACATCTCCATTCATTGTTCGCATGAGCATATATGGTATTAGAATTCCTTCAAATTCTTTATTTTGCTGAATGCTTCCTATTTGTTTTTACTGAAAGATCTGTCTACATATATTTTTACTATCTATGTAGGAATTCTTACAATATTTATTCTATTTTATTGCTTACTTTGTTGAAATTTCTGATATTTGCTCTGACTGCCTACACTGTATCACGGTTGATTTTAGTTAGTTAACAGTATTACTGAAACCAGAAAACTTCCTGTTTTATTACTGGCTATAAAATACAAGCACTTATGGCCATCAACATATCTGGACTGTACACCATTCTAGATACTTCTATGGGATTCTAGTTTACTAACTTACATTAATAAGAATATGTTCTGCTTTGCAAAGGCATGTTAAAAACAAAATAAAAAACTCCTTTAATCCACACATAAAGTACTTGATCTTTTATGAAAGTGTCCTTGTAAAATTAGGATGAGTCAGATATTGGCAACTAAATCTTAATAATCAATTCTAAAGTGATGTCAGACAGCCACAAGGGATTACGTGAAACAAAGGAGAGAAGAGATTCAAAAATGGACACAGAAGACGATTAATGAAGGTTGACAAAAAGCTCAAGAACAGCTTCAGTAGCTGGGGGACCTGGGGGAGCTTCTTCAGCCCAGATCCTCTGGTGGTGCAGTGCTTAAGGCATTCAGCTACTAGCCAAAAGGTCAGTGGTTTGAAACCACCAGCTACTATGTAGGAGAAAGATGAAGCAGTTTGTTTCCATAAAGATGCACAGCCTTGGAAACCCTACGGGGCAGTTCTACCCTGTCCTATAGGGTCACTATGAGTCAGAACTGACTCAATAGCAGTGGGTTTGACTTGGGCAGCTTCTCACTCACCAAGACAGGAAATAAAGGAGGAGCCCTGGGGTCATTACAATGAGTTCAGTTTCAGACACAGGCTTTAGAGATGTGTGGAAATATCTAAGGGGTTTTGTTTACTGCTCACAAGTCCATCTAAAGCTCAGTTGAAAAACTGGGGGGTGGGGAGATTAAAATATGAAGGTGTGGTCAACAATGTCAGACAGATATAGGGGACTGTCTCGGTTCTCTAGTGCTGCTACAACAGACACACCACAAGTGGAAGCCTTTAACAAACAAGAATTTATTCTCTTACAGTTTAGAAGGCTAGACGTCTTAGTTCAAAGTACCAGCTCTAGGGGCTGGGTAAACGCGGCCCCTTCACCTTGGGCTTCAGCTCTGCCTCCTCTGGTAGGCCCACTGGAGCTGGAGGCTTTTTGAATCATGCAGCTGCTGGCTGCTGAGGCTGACGAACCCCAGATTGTCAAGTAAAACAGCACAATCCCAAGACAGGCAGGCAACACGGCAGACCACTGGTTCAAGTCCAGGAACAACTGGTTCAAGTTCATGTTTGGCAGGCATGTGGCAGGCCACTGAGATGAAGACTTGGCCAAATGCAGGATCCAAATGTGCCTAAAGCTAGAGACCTTTCTCAAAGCTTCTCCTTATACACAGGAAGCAGGCCACACCCCAAAGGCAGCTCCCTTTCCACTGATTAATGTCTCACAGCAGATTCCACCATGGAGATGATTACAATCTCATCATGGGGAATAACTACATTCAGCTGTCAAGCCACTCAGAACCATGGCCCAGCCAAGTTGACACACATCCTTAACTACCACTGGGAACAATCAGCAAAAGGACTAAAGTCTTTGTACCAATTTTAACTGTTGGAAGGGCTGGCTGCTGTGACCCCTGTGACTCTCAGCTGGACTGCTTACTCAGAACCTTGGGCCTGATAACAAATGCTGGGAACTCTATCTCTGTTTCTTCCCCTTAATGGGGAAATTTCTATTCTGGGTACACAGTAAACTCTCTCTGCATTGCTTATAAATTCGCATCACATGGCACATGACCTTTTTGTCTCTGTTCCCTGTGGGAAGGGAAATGGCTCTCATCTGCAGCATGAAAGGGGACCACCAGCCCTATGTCAGCTGCAGGGTGACCTGCTGGCCAAGGTGGACCGATGTCCACTGTTGAAGTTGGCCTCACTGTCTCTTCTCTAGGTGAGTAAGGAGTCATTCTATCCAAGACTTGGGTGTACGTTGTTTCTTTCTTAGCAATTTTGGACCTTTGTAGTTTAGCACAGCAAGCAGGGCCAACAACAGCAATGAAGCAGTTATGACCATCGTGACAGGTGAGATTTCACTGCAGTAGGGAAGTAAACCAGAATGTAGTAAGGCCAGAAAGGAACTAGGAAGAGCAGAAGAAAAGAGTTCGTAAATCTATTCTTTCAAGCCTCTTCAGATGAGGAAGAAAAATTGGTGAATGAAATCTTGTGAATAGCAGTAAACATCATCTGATATAGTGACAGAAGATGACCCTTCAGGTTGGAAGGCACTCCAGATACAACTGGGGAAGAGCTCCTCCTCAAAGTAGAGTCAACCTTAATAATTTGGGTGCAGTAAAGCTTTCAGGACTTCCAACTGCTGATGTGCCACAACTCAAAATGAAAAGAAATAGCTGTAAACATTCATTAGTAATTGGAATGTGGAATACACAAAGTATGAATCTAGGAAAATGAAAATTGTAAAAAATGAAAAGGAACACATAAAGGTCAATATTCTAGTCATTAGTCAGCTGCAATGGACTGGTATTGGCCATTTTAGATCAGACAATCGTATGGGATACTATGACAAACTGAAGAGGAATGGGGTCTCACATACATCAGCAAAAAGAGTATTTTGAGATCCACCTTCAAGTAAAATGCTGTCAGTAATAGTATAATATTCCATAGTCCATAAGGAAGACCTGTTAATACCACAATTATTCAAATTTACGTACCAACCACTAAAGCTAAAGATGAAGAAACTGAAGATTTTTATCAACCTCTGCAGCCTGAAATTGACCAAACATGAAATCCAGATGTATCGATAATTACTGATGACTGGAATGAGAAAGCTGGAAACAAAACAGCAGCATAAGTAATTGGAAAACATGGCCTTGGTGAAAGAAAGGATGCTGGATATGGCATGACAGAACTTTGTTAAGACCAAGGACTTTTTCATTGCAAGTAACTTTTTTCAACATCATAAATGACAGCTATACACATCGACCTTACAAGATGGAATACACAGGAATCAAACTGACTACCCTGGTAGGAAGAGTCCAATATCATCAGTCAAAACAAGGACAGGAGCTAACAATGGAATAGACCATCAACTATTCCTAGCAAGTCAGGCTGAATCTGGAGAAAATTAAAACACACCTCAAAGAGCCAAAATACAACCTTGGGTATATCCCACCTGAATTTAGAGAACATCTGAAGAATAAATTTAATGCACTGAATGCCAGTGACTGAAGACAAGACAAGTTATGGGCAGACATCAAGAACATCATGCATGAAAAAGCAAAAGGTTAGTAAGACAGGAAAGGAAGGAAAGACCAAAATGGATGTCAGAAGAAACTCTGAAACTTGCCCCTGAACAGAAAGTAGCTAAAACAAATGGAAGAAATGATGAAATAAAGGCTGAACAAAAGATTTCAAGGGGTGGCTTGAGAAGACAAAGTAAAGTATAAAAATGAAATGTGCAAAGACCTGAAATTAGAAAACCAAAAGGGAAGAACATGCTGGGCATTTCTCAACCTGAACGAATTGAAGAAAAAATTAAAGCCTCCAGTTGTAATACTGAAGGATTCTATGGGCAAAATAATGAACACTGCAGGAAGCATCAAAAGAGAATGAAAGATAGTGCCCTCTATCACCACTTCTACTCAACACTGCACTGGAAGTCCTAGCCAAGGCAATAAGGCAAGAAAGGGAAGTCAA